TTATCAGAAACTAATAAAGTTTCTGATAATTAAGTTGTTACTCCTAATAAAGGCTTTAACAAGATTTTACATTCTGTTTCCAATTTCTGCAATGTATGCTAGCTCTCTGGTAAAGTTTGATACACATTCCATTCCTTTTATAGGTATCATTTCTTTAAAGCAGTGTTTCCCAAACTTTTGACATCTGTGTACCCCTTCTATAATTTTCGTAACACTGAGTACCCCTCGTCAAAAAAACAAAAAAAAAATTGCATATACTTTCATAAAAATCAAAATATATTTATTTTTTCCTTTTTTAGTACATAAACAACATAATAATAAACTAAAAATTAAATTTATTTATAATAAAATATAAATAAAAGTTATATTATAAATAACATTTATTAGGATTAATGAGAAGGATGAAATTGTTTATGTTGAGATGACAATTCATCATAATTTGATTCCTAGATATAGGAACCAAATTATCGTTTACATAATATCGTTCCTAGATATAGCAATATGGACTTTAGGTCTCATTTTTGTCTTTCTAGAAGCACTGTCGAAGTAAATCTCTGCTAAGAATTGTTAGTTGTAGTAACTATCTACAGAAACTTGCTTTATTTTGCATTTTTAGCTTTTTATTAATACTAAAGCATATAACAAACTTTTTCTATTAGAAAAATTGGACAAAAGTTAAAAATACACACATGTGCACTGTAACAGTTCAATGTGTAGATACTAGAGTTTTTTGTGTAACACTGTTGTCTGGGCCATAGGATGGAGAAATGCACAGAATCACTGTGCTCGGCAAAACTACTAACAAGTAATGAAGTTTTTAATTATTTTTTAATGTTTGTAATTGAAAAAAAGTTAACTGCTTGTTACACCAGGTGCAGCCAAAGCACAGTCCAGCGCATACCCCCCTAAACTCTTCCGATACCCCTGGGGGTATGTGTACCACAGTGTGGGAAACACTGCTTTAAAGTATGTAACTACATCCAAGAAACTGACCCATGCCTGCTTTTTTTCTAATATTGTGAAATATAAGACTTTAACAGGTTGTGACACAATGAAATCTTTACAAACAAAATTTTATTAAAAAAAAAAAAAAACAACAGAATCTTTCCAAGCAACTAACACACAACCCTTGATGTCAGCTGAGGAGCATATTCCCAACAAACACTCAAGCATGATATAATAAAATTAAACAAACAAAAACATAAAATGCATACAAAATATTTTGAATAGAACAAAAGGCTTAATCTACTGCAAAGACAAAAAAGTGGACTAAGTGATTAAAACTAATTATTAATACTAATCTTAATTCTAATATGTAAGAGTATTATTTTTTACTGATAGAAGGCAAAAGTTAGGAATAGAAAGACAACTGAAAGAGAACAAATGGATACTCAAGTTGGATCAAATTCTTTTCAAACAAAAATGGGAGCATGTGTTTTGGAACTTTCTATCAAAATTTCTATCAAAAACCTGAATGAGGACATCATCTCTTGAAAGAACCTCCAAAAATCCACAATGTCCTACTTATGGTTCAGTCTTCTTGGCTTCTCAGACTGCAAAGGTCTCTTGCCCCAATCTTCACCGTCTGATATACTAGGACAAATGTCATCTCTCTTCTACTCAGATCCAAAACGTGTCCTATTGAGGTTACTTCATTCTTTTATAAGCCAACCACAAAACCAGTCAGACCAGTTCTTAATCAATCAAAAGAGGGATCTACCCCAGAAATGGAGCAGACCCCCCATTTGCAAAGAAGAAAAACAGCTCTAAGATAATGGAAGGAAATGGGAAAAAGATAAGAGGAAAGAAAAATTAATACTAACTTCTATAAATTATGATGTATAGTTAAAACAACTTCTTACAGAATTACTGGAAAGGATAATCCACACTCAAGAACCTTAGGAGTCCAGTAATAACAACAAAAATTTAATGAAAATTAATGTTTTCATTAAATTTTTAAAAACATGTTTAGAAACTATTTTCAAAATGTTTCTAAACACATTGTTCTATGCATTCCATATTTGAACCTTACTGGTTAAAAAAACCTGATGAGACTGACTGGGGTATGGTCGAAAATGTTAGTTTTTATTAAATTTTTGTTGTTACTGGACTCCTAAGGTTCTTGAGTGTGGATTATGGTTATAGCCACAATATCAGTTATTGTGGTTTTAAGTGCTCATTCTTTATTTAACTCCTTATATTATGTTTCACAAATATGCCTTCCTTTATTTTGTCATAGGATAGTTTCTTAATGCATATTATATCTGCTGAAGTGCATAAAAAATAACATTATGATAAATGTTGCACAAAAATTTTGCATAATGGAGGAAGCCAGATGTCATTTTCATATTCAGCAACAAATTAGTAAATAACAATCAGTACTTAGCCTCCAAAAACTCATGTAAACTTGTGTTATTATTTTAATTAAAATTACCATAATCATATTATCTAGGCAAAAAATATATTTAGATAATTATATCTAGTTATATGTACAAAATTTTTTAAATGTTATTTATTTTTATAATTTCTAAGAAAAAGCTGTACAATATACATAATAGTAATTGTCTTTTTCTCTTGTCACTTTAAATAAAATTACTAAGACTTTCTGCATATTATATAACTTAGTAAGAAACAAACCAAAAAATATATATAAATCTCAAAGTCAGCCCAGCAGTGAATATATTAAAAAGGCAGATTGCCAAGCTCAGAGGCTGCCTTGTCATGTACAGTACATATGCACCCTCACTATTTTTGACATCCTAAGAAATGAGAAAGGCTCGTGTAAGATGCAAAGAGCCCAGGAGTATATGTCATTTCCCTTTGTGGCAGTAGATTTAATAGGGAGTTGATCTATATTTGCTCAATCAAACACTCCTCGAGCAAAAGATTGAAAGAGCATAAGTATGACATTGAACACAGCAAAACCACCACTGCCCTCTGCCTTTATGCATTGCAAAATGAAGTGATTCTTATGCTACACCAAGAACCATGTTAAGAAGGACCATTCAGGTAGAGCATCTAAAGCACGGGTGTCCAACCTTTTTGTTCCTCTGGGCCACATTGGAAGAAGTCATGGCGTTTTGGGCCACAAGTATATATAATATATTTGCATCCTAATCATGTAATTAACATCAACAATTAACATGTCTACATTATAGTAATAAGTATTAAAACTTTATTATGAAAAAGGATATTTTAAAAAATTACTTCTACAGACAGTTTCAATTTTTACTTTTTTCTTTCTTTTTTTTTTTTTNTAGTCAAAGCTGACAACTCACCTGATCCACAAATACTCCATAAGTGACGAATCTGCAGATCTGGCAGGCCAAGAAAGTGTGATGTGACAGAGTCATTATTGGGAAATGTTAGTTGTGCATAGCTGAGCATTATCTTGCTAGAAAATGGCTGTTTGTACCATGCAATGAAAAGCAACACATGAGGACATGATTTCTTGAATATACCACTTTGCTCTCAATGTTCTTTATACCACCAATACATACAATAGTCATAAAAGTGATTATTATACCTCTTTTCAACTCTTTAATGAGTTTTATTTCTTTTTTCTTTTACCAGTCTTTTAATATTACAGTTTTAATTGCATTTTATTTAATTGCTTTTATAATTTACAGGTATTTTATTATACATTGAAATCCAGTTGTCACAATTATCTATAACATACATGTAATTTCTGTCATCAAGATTGCTGTAAAATTTAAAAAAGTAGCCAATGTGCCAAATGATAATTTTTACGGCAAACTAAAAAAAGGGTAGCCAAATCTTGCAATGCTGGATGGAATACTAAATAATGCTAGAGTTAGAACTCAAAGGATTATAGACCCAAATTTGAGAAAAGGAGAGAAAGGCCAAAAGATAAAAAGTAATGAGGAAGGTTGGAAAATTAAGGGTCAATATTTGCATAACAGAAGGTCTATTTAACCTTTCTCACTACTTTTTATCTTTTGACCTTTCTCTCCTTTTCTTAAATTTGGGTCTATAATCCTTTGAGTCACAACTCCAGCTTTATTTAGTATTCCTTCGTCATTCATACATCTCCAAGTATTTTAAAAATATTTCCTTTTCACTCAGAAATAAAATATGTATAAAAGTTTACGGCTTTGTGAAACTTCTTTTTTGAATTTATGCCATTGAAATAAAAAAAATAAATAAAATAAAACAATTTGTCGGTTTTGTTTACACGTTTATTGGGCCGCATTCGAACTTGCCTTGGGCATGCGGTCCGTGGGTTGGACACCCTTGATCTAAAGGATATGGAAGCCCTAGAAATTTTTAAATATATCAACACCAAGGAAGAAAGATTGATCTCACAAGCATGACAAGCCTGTTTAATACTTCTCTTTAACTACACAGTCATTCAGTTATTGTCTGTTATTCTGATGATGCTTTCACTTTTAAATTTACAACTTCTATGAGTCTGCATTTCTCTTTCAAATTTCAGTACTTCTCCAAACGTTTTATTTTAAGCTTACTCTTTGATGAGTGCACATTTATATTTTAAATTTCAGCTGTTCTTCAAACATTCTGCCTGCCTTAGAATTTAATTAAACATTCCATTCCAGTTCTGCATACCTTTGTCAGGAGAAACCTGACAAAGGTCTACAGAGTTGATCAAAAATATTTGAACTTTTTAATATTTTCACTTATTGAAATATTATATTTAATATTTTAATATTTTCATAGCTGGATTGATTTTGAGGTTTGTATGTATTTTTTTGTTTTGTTTCTACTGTCCAGTTCCGAGACTGAAGTGTTGTGAACTTACTAAGATTAAATATGAAACAATTTTTAAAATATACAATATGTTTTTTTTTCGTTTTTTTGCCGTTTCTTTCTTTTTCTGGCTTTTTTCTGAGACATATTAAGACTTTCTATGAAGATTTCATCCTTTATATAATTAATTTTTTGTCATTGTATTCAATATATAACTATGTTTTATATTTATATAATATATCATAAATAATATATGTTAAATTTTTTTTAAGTTGAAGTTTTAGATACAAATGATAATTTAAGAGATCTTATCAATAAAAGGGCACTTCCACAAGTTCGTACATTTCAAGTTCCAATTGATGGAGGGTATAGTAAGTGTATATTTAATATACTATGTAGAATAATAATGTACATAATAATAATTTAATTAATATTAACTCAATTAATTTATAAAAATTTAATTTTTAGAAGCAAATGTTAGATTATTTTTACCACCAGGATTGAAAAATGATGAAATAACAAAATATCCGTTATTAGTGAATGTGTGAGTATTGATTTTTAATTTAATAATTAAAAAAATCTAATGTCAATGTTGTTAACATACTACAACTAATCAAAATAATAATTAATTGAAGTAAAAAAACAATATACTTGTTAAAGAAACTCTTCAAATGCAAATCTAAAGGCATGTTGCCTGGTAAGCAGCTTTAATACAGCTGGATAAGCAAACCAATGGTGTAGCTTATATCATTTGAAATAGATAAGGTCAGATATAAACATCTATTAAAACCCGATGCACAGCAAATAGACACCCACGATTGCCATAAATCAGTGTTTCTCAACCTCTAACGAATCATCACCCCCTTCAATAAAACCGTTACATAGTATTGCCCCTTCACTACAAAATTCCAATGCCGAGAGCCAAGGCTAACGCCAAATTCATACTGCATTGAATAGACTAGTGACTAGTACTGTATAATGTTATTTGTTTAATTATTGTATGATATAACAAATAAAATATCTAATTATTTTTAATACAGTAGAGTCTCAAAAACTCGGCCTAATTTGGACCGAAGGGTGTCCAAGTTTGTGAAAATGCCAGGTTATCGGGAATGAGGTTAAAAAAAATAAGTATGAGAGTTTCCTCAGAAAATACTGTACTGTACTTGTATGTATTGTTTACTTGAGAATACAACAGAGAATAAACTGCCCAAATACCCTTAAACAAGGGAAAAGTACGTCCTTTATGAAGGCATAGAGCCTTTACTACATGAAAATGAAAATTAATGAATACACTGTGTACAGTAATTTACCTGATAAGACAGACCTCAGAAAAATACTTTAAGAGGCATAAAGCTGTCTATAATGAGAATTAATTAACTAAGGATTTTTTTCTCTGCCAGGGTGCCGAGTTTTCGAGACTCTATTGTATAATGTTTTACTATATCACCCAAAAAATTGTTTTTCGCCCCCAAGATATAAATTGTTGCTAATCGCCCCCTGAACATGGAAAAACGCCCACATGGGGGCGATATTGCCCGGTTGAGAAACACTGCCGTAAATAATCAAACTATAATTTGGAAATATTTGCCAGATGTTTCTGACCGAGGACAAGGGTGTGTCCCCAGTCGGCACCATATTAACCATCGATGGTTATACATTAGGCTTAAATATACTGGAAGAGGAGATTGGACTGAAGATCCTGGTAGCGTAACTGGCAATGCATCTGCATGGTAAGTGGGAGTTGTGGGTTCGAGTCCCGCTTTGGGCCAATTCTTTTCTTCCAGGTTATTCTAAATTAATTAATTAAATATTATAATTATCAAATTTAGTACGAGATGGTGCCTAATTCCTCCCTCTAGTGCCAAATTTATTTGTAATTCATAATTAATATTTCCAAATTATAGGTATTTAATTTCCAAATTTGTGGGTATTTATTAGACAAGGTCATTTGTTTGTTTATCCAGCTGCATTAAAGCTGCTTTACTAGGTAACATGCACTAAGTCAAACTGTTAAAAAAGCAGTTTAAATTTGAGGACCTTCCTTTTCTAGTATTATAATAAAGTTAAACTACAGGAAAGTGAACCCTGTTTATAATATCAGAAATAGATTATCTTGTGTAGTGAGCTTAGAGTATAATGACAGTACCAAGTTGAGAAACAAAATAATAATAAAACAGATAAAAATAATAAACAGAAACAAAACTAACATGGGACAGGGGTACCACAAATTTTGCAGTTTTAATTGTATTTTATTATACTTCCTCCTTTTATAATATACAGAACATACAAGTTTCTTTTTACCAACTTTTAATTTTTATTGTTTTAATAGAATTTTAACATAACCTTTTTAAAATACAGGTATTTTATTATACATTGGAGTCCAGTTGTCACAATTATCTATAACATACATGTAATTTCTGTCATCAAGATTGCTGTAAAATTTAAAAGAGGACTGATGAGGGACATGCTGTCCAAAATGCATATCCTAAGAAACCAATAAAATATTCTGTATATTTAATGTATATTCATCTTAATTGTGTTCCTGTATGATTCATTCTCTCACTCAATTTTATGCTTATTCATAACAATTACAAAGAGAACAAAAGGCAATCCAGTACAAATTAAAATTGTACTAAAAAAGAGGACATTATTAATAAAAGAAAACTGAGGACAATGCAATTCCATGTAGGATGATTAGCAAGCCTATTATGAAACCTATTACAGTACAATGTTGATCTAATGTTATATCACTTAAATTAAGTTAATGTCATATTATGAATTAATGATACAAATTAATTTGAGATTTGAAATAAGCCCAGTTTGCAATACTCGTGATATTGAATTGTGTTCTATGATATGTTCTTTTTCTGTTCTGTATCATTTCCTAATTTTTACTTTCTTCATTGACTCCTGAAGTCAATATAAAAAGCAAAAATTAAGAAATGATAACAGATTACTAACAGTATTCCATACGAGGACAAATATGATATAAATATAACAAAGGAGAATATTTCTGGCTGTTCTCTTTCACAATCAATACTAAAGACTAGAAAACAATTATTTTCTGTTATATTAATAGTTTTATAATCTTCATCAAAATGAAGATTATAAAACTATTCCATCAGTAGACCATTAAAACAATATCTTAAAGTTTTTAAGTTTTGTAGGTTGTAAATTTGACCTCATTTCAGGCATGAATGTTTGTTTCTTCAGCTGTAATGGAATTGATATTTGTGAAAGAAAGCATTGTAGTCATCATTGCATTTGGCATTGTTATTAAATTAGAGTAATAATTATATATTGTAAAATTTTCAGTATTTTCAAATTATAAATATAAATTTTTCAAAATTTTTAGATATGGTGGACCAGGCAGTCAAATGGTAACTGAAAGATTTAAAATTCATTGGGGAAGTTACTTAGCTAGTAAAAAAAATTATATCTATGCATGGATTGATGGACGTGGAGGAGGAAGAAGAGGAGAAAAGATACTTCATGAAATATATCATCGATTAGGAAGTGTTGAAGTTGAAGATCAAATAACTGTGACTAGGTTGTATTTAAATTCTTAAAATTAAACTTTTACATCAAAACTAATAATTCAATTTTAATTTTAGGTATTTAAGAAATGAACTGCCATTTATTGATAAAGATAGTGTTGGAATATGGGGATGGTCGTATGGGGGATATGCTGCTGCTATGGCTCTTGCAAAAAGTAATGATACATTTAACTGTGGTATGTCAGTTGCTCCTGTTACAAATTGGTTGTATTATGGTAAGTTAATGAACAAAATTCTCATTCATTTAATCATAAAATTATAACTCCTTTATTAATTTTACTATAAGAAAACAATATAATAAAATATCAATTTGGTTCATTCAAGATTCTGTATATACTGAAAGATATATGCAGCTACCTGATGACCATGTAGCTGAATATAAAAATGCTAATCTTATGGAAATTGCTGGCAAAATTAAAGGAAAGAAATTTCTTCTTGTTCATGGGACAGCAGATGGTATCAATTAATATTGTTTGTCTTTATTTTAATATTTATTATTAAATATAAATTATATTTAAATTTGAATTTTTAGACAATGTACATATCCAACAATCAATGATGCTGATGAAAGCACTGACCAAAGAAGAAGTTTTATTTCGAACACAGGTAATCTATAGAATTTAAAAATTAATAGTACAATAATTTCTGTATTTATGCAGTCTCTATTTATGCAAATTTACTTTCACATGGATGAAAAATTTTTAAATTTTAAATAATCCACTTTATGGAAATAAGTGATAATTACATCAAAAACTGTGTTTTTTATCATCAGTAACTTCTTATATAGACATATATTTAAAAAACTTTAGTTGAAACTTCTCTACCACAGTAAAAGTAAAGTACTGTATTCGAAAATGCTGAACAGATTTTTATTTTAAACAACTATTTTTGTGGAACCAATTACTGCATAAATAAAGAGATTAATGTATATTGGGTGATCAGGGCTCATGTTTACTCAGATTTGATGCATAAATTAACAATATATCACTATTTTCACGTAACAGTTTTTTGTGTCAAATTTTAGTTGCTGTTAGGCATGTGTGAGTTAAGCATTGCTTTTCTGCGTGTTTGTGCTAAACTTTTTTCAGTTTTGTGATTTATATATTTAATCAATATGGCCAGTGCTGTAACCAGGCAGGTGCAACAGGTGCACCCGCACTGGGCCCTCTTGAAAGGGATTCCAAAATGCATGTATTTGTTTTATTATTTTCCCAAACCTACTTAATTAAGGAGCCTAAATGCAAATTATTGTACAGGGTACAGGAATGGCTAGTTACGGCACTGAATATGGCATCCAAGAAAGAGAAAAGTGATAGTGACAATAGAAAATGACAATGCACTATCACATTTGAGAAAAATTTTGATTAAAAGATTAAGACAATCAACTGTGGATCAATTTCTTGTTCCTTACCAAAAGAGACTTATACTCAAAGACTCTCCCGATGAAGTGCTACCCAATATTTTTTGGGGGAATTCCCCTTCTAAGCATTACGGTTTGTATATCTCCGCTCCTCTGCCACCAACTACAACAAACGAAGTGCTATTTTATTACATAAATAACCAGGCAAACATAATAACCAGGCAAAGTACAGTGCTATTTTATTAAGTAAAGTTTACATGTTTGTTGCTGTAATGATAGATACTACATTTTTCTACATTTTTATCAAAGAAAATCTACTGTATATTACAAATAAAATCACAAAAATATTGGAGGTTAGAATGGATAAATTGCATTTCCATTAATTTCTATGGGAAAAATTGCTTCAGTTAATGAACAGAGTCGCAGAACAGATTAAGTTCATTAACTGGGGTTCCACTGTATTTACATTTGTTATTTACCAAAATAAATATTAATTTTTATTACATAATTATTTTGATAAATAATTCATTTTTAATATTAGGATAAAAAATTTATTTAAAGAAAACTGATATCTAATAAAAATATACTTAATCTTTTATTTTAGGTATATCCAGATGAAAGACACACACTTAATCAAGTTAAAAAGCATCTTTATAGAACTTTAGAAGACTTTTTATCTCTTTGTTTTGTGATTAAAAAGGAAGATGATGCTGGACAAAAGAAAGGAAGCTAGTCTTCTATTTCCACCATATTGGTGAATATTTGTACATAAAAAATATTTTCCCAGGATTTTTCCACGCCGAGGGACTTAAATCATACTTTAAAATCAAAGACGTTTTTGCACAAAACAGAAAATTGTGCAGATATCAAGATGCCTATCAACAAAACGTTGTATAATAAAAACTCTTTTCAAATTAGATGATTCAAATTTATGCCATGCTGTATATATATCCATCTAAAACAAAAAATACAAGAAAAAAAAGCTGCATACCAAGAAGATTTAATTATAGAACGATTACCGCCATCAGTTATGACAATCTTTCTATTTTGCTATCAGTATATTAGCAATGCAATGAACTAGAAAATAGAAAAAAATATTGCTTTTTTATATACCATATTTGTGATATACAGATATTCCACTTTAGGAAAATATTACATGTTATTCACAATATTTGCATTATATTTCGTTGGAGGCACTTATTTTGCCTACATTTTGTGATACAATATTTTATAATGTTTTGATTATTTTTAAATGTAAATCACAATCTATGTGCCTATTTAAAATAAATAAATCATATTATTAATATGATATATATATCATATTATGAGCTTGATAGTAAGAACAATATTAGCTGTATTATTTATTAACAAAGTTTATGCTAAACAATGCCAAAATTTCTATATATATATACATATATAAATCAATTCTAAGAATAATAGATTATAATTCAAATATATTAATACTTTGATGATAGGAAAAGTAGATTTAAGCATAATTTTATCTATCTTTATAACACAATTCTTCCAGAAAATATTATAGAAAAATATAATTTAGAAGTTTAAGTATCCAATATTGTTAGTTATATGCTAATTTATGCCAAAAATATAATTTAAAAAACTATTTTAAAAATTATTTATTAAATTATAATTATTGATAAATAATTGTTTAAATTATTTCTTTAAATACTAAAATTAAAAATATCACTTTATTTATTTATTTATTTATTTATATAATATTTTGTTAAATTTTTAAAATTTTAATTATATTTAATGGAAGAAAATACCGTATCAATAATAAATAATATAAACAAGAGCCTTTCAAAAATCCATTCATGAATCCATTTTGAAATATTGAATTTGAATTTCTAAGGTGTAAAACATTAAAATCTGCATAGTTATAATAAGAAGAAACAAGTGCTAAATAAATAAATTTTCACAATTATAGTTTTTGAAATGCTGTAGGTGAAAATCTTAGAATCTTACTAGATTTTTAAGAAAATTGAATTTTTCATTACATAATGTATAGGAAAGATAACTGTTGGCGATAATCATTCAATTCTGTACAATAAATCCATATAATAAAATTTTGTTAATATCAAATAATAAAGTATCAGTTGTCTTCTTAATTTTAGATTATTAATACTATACACTTAGGGCTATGAAGAATGGAGCAGTGGACATAGCACACCCATGAAGCTAGCTGTGTTTATCTGTGTGTTTGCACAAGGCGTCTACAGTTAAAGAAACCCTGCAATTGGTCATTGATCCTCAGTATCTTAAAAAACTCCTGCATTTATAAATATACTTATTTTGTACTGAGCTCTGCAAAACATGGACCCAGTTTTGCATATAAATTACCTAGGCTTAATGGAATTCAGAGGTAGGGCTGGACTTGCTAAATAACCTAAACATACTGTAGATCCTCACATTATTCTTGTTTCTTTACGAAAATTAATATATATTGTTCACTAATTTGTGGCTATATATTGTATATAACATCTCTTTAGAATTTAATAAGAATTATTGTTATAAAAAGTGTAATATCTAATTTAGGTCTTACCTTATTATTTGGTGGAAGAGAAAGGGTTACAGCTTAGAGATACATATCAAAATCTGGTTATGCTCAAAAGACCCATAAAGATTTAATTGCTAGAATAAGACAAAGCAACACTTCTGTAGTTTGCCAAGGGGGATGCCTCCTGGGAGGACGTTCTATGGGAAACTGGCCCCTATTTATCATGTGTTAGACATGAGAAAACTCATAAAACTTCATGTGGAGAGTCCATTAGTGAGACCCAAACCCAGGCATGGCCCGTCTAATGAATTTATGCGGCCCGCGATTAATCTTTTAATATTAGCTACTTAAGTCCGAATATCGCAATGAAAAATTCTGACGCCTATCGCCTAAAAAAAAAGGTCAATAACTAACTGTGCGTTTAGAGTTAGCGCTCCATTACAAATGTGTTCAGCATAGTGTAGAATGTTGATAATGCATGATAATGTGAAAAATCTGTAATCTCTATGTACAATTTAGTCTCTACGGTGGCACCACAATGAGATCTCGCACCACCTCAAAATCTTGCTAGGGCAGCCTCTGGTTCGGTCCGTGAAAAAAGTTTTCTTTCCAATTCGGCCCGGGGCAAAAACTGTTGGCCACCCCTGCCCAAACCAATGATCAACTGCCAGTGTTCAGTGGTTTTATCAAATTGACCACTGGGCCATAAAGAATAACAAATTATTGCAATTTTTAGAAAATCTCACCAGATTTTTATAATCTTGACAAGTCAAATGAAATAAACCTGATTTTTATTACTTTAGAAATCATTTTCTTCTATCTATGAAGTAGGGAAAGGTTCCTGCCGCATTCTGATTCGAAAACTGATCTGTCTCTTGGCTGCTCTATATAAATCTGTTAACAGATTTAAAATCTGAATTGTTCTGTCAAATATTTTATATAATTGAGTTTTTATTATTTACATATATGGTTTTTATCTTATCAAACTATTTGTAGAGTTAACATAATATTCAGTCTTTTATAAAAATTATATATTAATATTTAATGTGAAAATAAATATAGTGGAATCTGTTCAGTAAATATAATTAATATTGATTGAATTAATATTTTCTAATGAGACAAATGAAGTGCTTGGTGTACAACTGTCACAAAAGTTCAATCATACACTTTGATTAGTGTTTTTTCTAGAGCAAAAACTTGATTTATATATACATATATACATATACATATATACATTTCCTTTTTCTCCAGAAGAGCTATACAGAAAAATTGTTTTCTATGTAGTTTTAACTAATAGCTTCTTTTAGCTTCTTTATTGAATTAGATATTAAATAAAGATGAAATTCTGTTATTGTCATATGAAAGTAAAAATCCCAGATAAGGAATCTAACTTCAATAAGTATTACTGGTATTTTTAATTACCCATAAATAAAAAATAAATACTGTATAACTAAAACTTCAGTATATTTCTTTAGCTTGTCCTTTTATGCATCTAAACAAAATGTTTTATTTCTAAGACGTAATTCTAAAAAATGTTCAAAATTTAACAAAATATGTTTTAATGCAGAAACATATTTTCACTGTTGAACTACAAGATTTCTTCAGTAATATGCAATACAGAATTTTGCAATTTTAGTTTTATAAATGATATATAATCAGTAATATGTTAAGAAGAATTGTAAGTCATACAATAAACTGTATATATCATATCGTGAAAATGCTAAATAATAATATATTTTCATTCTGATCCCTCAGGGCAGCAGACTGCAATTAAAGTCCGGCCACACAGACTGCTAGTTTCTACCATCAAAAATTCGCCGCCGTATTAAATAGTGGGAGTCATCACACTGTACACTTAGGCTGCGATGCAGCAACACCCGCAGACTGTAGAAAAAGGGCATCATATGTACAGTACATTATGCAAGAAGATACCTGTATTTATTTATACATACAGGTATCCCTTGATTAACGCAGTTAATTTAATCGCTCGATGCTCTCGCGTTTCAAATACAGTAAGTAGTACAGTCGACCCCCCCATAACACGGTAGATACGTTCCGTTCTTTATGAATTAATTTTGTACGAGTCCTTGCCAATCACAGCCTGACACGTGTGAAGTTTACGGACTACGGCTGTTTGAAAGGTTTTCTTCCATAAAATTAATCGATTCTAGACTAATTCGACTCAACATTTCCAAAATATGTATAATTTTTTTGGGAATAATCCGTATAAACTATGCTATAAACAACAAATTGTAGGATTACTTACCGAGTGTGCACCGTTCGACGTCGCCATTGCTCAAGCTTGTTTTCGTCGCGGAGCAGCACACCAAACGGCGGGCGATTTCTGATAATTTATTTTTCTGCGAAACTTCGTTGAACTTTGGAGACATCATTAATATAAACAATTTTTATGGCCGTTGAATAAGAAATGTTTCTTTCACAAGAAATGTATAAAAGTACAGTACTGTATTAGACTTACGGTACCTAATTTACATACTGTACAGACGATAGTAAACAACTTACTCGCCTAAACTCTCCGTAGCGTGGCGCTGGACGGCGGAAAGTATATATATAATTATAATAAAGTTACAATAAATTAAGTTAATATATAATTATATATACAGTACCTAATTTATATATAATTATATGTACAGTACCTAATTTATATATAATACTGTACAGACGATAGTAAACTCAATTTACCCGCATAAATTCTCCGTAGCGTGGCGCTGGACGGCGGAAAGTAGTTCGGCTGCCCGATGACGTTTTACCCGAATTATAGGAGTTTTTTATCAGGTTTGTACGGATGCCGTCGCAATTTTTTCGCCGTCTTATAGGAATCGTAATTATAGGAACCCGTGTTATAGGGGTACTATAACACGGGTGTTATAGGATCTACTGTACCTCGGTACTTGACCGAACAATCACGACCCGCTAGAACAAATATTTTTATTTTTATTTTGTCATCAGTAGAATAGCTTTTTGTGATAAAAATCCGTAACTAATTTAATTTAAAAATAGAGCTCTCTTGGGAATTAAGAAAAGGGCAACCCGGCGACAAATGGGATGCGCGTATCCCAACACAGTATACGGGCGCCTCTGCTACGATGTTATCTATGGGCGTGTTTCCTTAGTAAAAGGAATTTCTTATTAGTAAAGCCACTTTGTTAAAGGATATTTAAGCCTTAAGTTAGCCGCTTCAGTGCGCTTTGTTACCGCGACTATTTTTGTGTCACGGGATGTCAGCAAAATCGATGTTTGAGATATTCTGTTTGTATTATTATTGCGTGGATCTCATATACCGTGCCTTTGTATAATACCGGCGCATTACTGCTGGTTCTGTTTTTTATTTGTAACAACGTTCGGGATCCACTTGTACTTTACAGCAACCATCTTGTAATTTTGTTTTTCTGTCCATTTTCTGCATTTGTCACTTTGTGTTACAGTCTAATCATCCATATCTTGCCCCACGCCTGCTCAGGTACGAGCTTCGTTCTTCACCGTTAACGCACATACCTGCTTCTTCTTGTATGTATTGTTTTTCACTTATTGTCATACCACAGTTGCACTGTATATCCACTGTATAGCCGCTTCCATTTGTACCCTTGTAACCATTTACTTGTGTTATCAATTTATTTAATTCATTGTAACATTTTTCTGTTCAATAAAGTCCCGATGCGGCTGGTGACCTCCCCTTCCCCTTCTCTTTCACATTTTCATCCCCTTTGCTCTGCCGCAAATAGCTTTTCCTTCCGTCTAACACCTTCTCACTTCTTTCCATCCCATTTAAAGGAAATACCATTGAGTAATGCCTTCTAAACTTCCATATGAAAATGTAAATGTAGTACACGAGGATAACAAGAGCTGAAGAATGAAGTTAAGACGGCTGCTACTGTAAATTATATGCATTTTGCATATTGTACATCATATGAAGATTGTGAAATACTAAAATCTAGTTTAATTAATTAATTAATTAAACTGTTTATCGGAAAAATTAGAAATACAGTTTTCCACATAATCTTCTATTCCGATACAAACATTTTCAGATTTATTTTAGTAATGACGAATGCACACGTTCAGTTATTTAACATATAGGTAATAGACGGCCTTATGGCCCAGCGGTCAAGGTGAC